GTCAGAGCTCATTTCACACAGCGTGATTGTGAATCGCCGACAGCTCCAGATATTTAGCATGGCAAATATTTCACGGGCGACGGCGACGTGTCGGCGATTCGCTCAGATCGCGTCTTTTGATAATTCACAGTACGTGATTGTCACTCGCGTGAACGAGCACCGATTTGCCTCCGATGTCGGGCATTTGTCGGCGATTTTGCAAAACCTGTTGCCGAGTGAAAAATCAGGCTAAAATCGTGCAGTGTGAACTCGGCATAAGTGGACTGACTCTGGTGTCAGTCGTGAGTGTTTTCTCTGATTATCTGAGGAGAGCGGCAGTGTGTCACGGACTCGTCTGATCGCTGCAGGTGTGATACTCAGCTCTGTTACTGTCATGTGGACATCAGGAAGATGACAGACTGATGATTTCTCAAACAGGGCTCCGGGGGCCACTAGAGGGCCTCAGCACACGTCCAAGTGCCACAAGATGACTTCATATTTACTTAAATAAGACAAGCATTAAAAAAAAGTGTTTATGTATATCTTTATTAATAGTTTTTTAATTCATATATTTTATATTTTTAAATATACAAATCAGTTGTTTATTTAAAGTGTCTGTGTATATAATATAATGTGTGTAATATGTGTATATGTAATTTAAAAAAATCTTTTCTGTTCATTTCTTTTCTTTCTCTATCTTTCTTTCTCTCTTTCTTTCTCTCTTTCTTTCTTTCTTTTTCTCTTTCTTTTTCTCTTTCTTTTTTTCTCTCTTTCTTTCTTTCTCTCTTTCTTTCTTTTTCTCTCTTTCTTTGTTTCTTTCTTTTTTTTCTCTTGTTTCTTTCTTTCTTTCTTTTTTCTCTCTTTCTTTCTTTTTTTCTCTCTTTCTCTCTCTTTTCTCTCTCTCTCTTTCTTTCTTTTTCTTTTTCTCTCTTTCTTTCTTTCTTTCTTTCTTTTTTCTCTTTCTCTTTCTTTTTTTCTCTCTCTTTTCTCTCTCTCTCTTTCTTTCTCTTTCTTTTTTCTCTCTTTCTTTCTTTCTTTCTTTCTCTCTTTCTTTCTTTTTCTCTCTCTCTTTTTTCTCTGTTGTTTTTGTTTTTATTAATTTTTAAAATTAGTTTTTGTTTATATTTTTTGTATTTTATTTTGTTTATATTTTTTATTTTAACTAAGTTTTAGAATTGTTTTGTAGAGTAATTTGTTTATAGTTTTTATTAATTTTTTTTAATTAGTTTTTGTTTATATTTTAATTTTAAAGTTTTTGTTTTTTGTATTTTTTTATTCATTTGATTTGATTAGTTTTAATTTTAATTTTAAAGTTTTAGAATTTTTGCTTGTCTTTTTAATGTCTATGGTTTTTATTATTTTTTATTTCAGTTTTAGTTTCAGTTATTTTAGTACTTCAAAATAAACTAAATGTAAAAGAGTAATGTTGCCTTGACAACTAGATAAAATAAAATAAGTTTAATTTGAAGTTTAATTGTTTTTATATTTTATATTAACCTTTATTTTATTTCAAGTTATGAAGCGGTTATTTTGAATGGTTTTAGTTTCTGCCGCGTCTCTCATCTGATGGGTGGATGTGCAGTAATCTGACGTGGCTGGTCTCTCTCAGGTCCTGTAGGTGATCCGGGGCAGATGAAGCCTGTGTTTGAGCGGCACGCGTTTGGGCTGAACCCCTGACTGCGGACAGCAGCCGGTCAGTTCTGATTTATCAATGCATCTCTGATGCTTGTTTTTATTCTGATGCTGTGCTGATGCTGTTCTAGCTCACGTTATGAAATATTAACAGCCGTCAGAATGCATTCAGTACAGCCAGAGATCATGTTCGTTTAGTCAGCAGAGCGGTTAAACCACTCGACTAGTTACTGAAAGATTAATTAAAGTAAAACTGAAATCACAAAATGCCCTTGTGTAATTATCAAACCGCAAAGCCTGTGATTTTAAGTAATTCTATGCACAACCTTTTTTTTCCCTCAGAGTTCAGCATCTGTTAATAACATTGATTGCTAAAAATGTGCATATAAATATTTACGTAAATTTATATGTAAATTTGTCAACAACCAAAAATTTTTTTGGTCACATTATAAGCTCTTTGGTTTAACATTTGGAAATTTAAAATGACGTCAAATATTAGTAGGTGTACTGTAAAATGTAATTATTATTTTCAAATACTAAATTTAAGTAGAAAATTTTAATTGTATAAAATTGTATAATATTTAATTGTGTTGCTTTAACTTAATTATTAAAAAAATAAATAATTAAAACATTTTTAATTATACGTTTTACATTACAATGGTAATATTTTTTGTTGTTTAATTTTTATTTAATCATTTAACTATATATTTATATATATGTATATGTGTGTGTGTGTGTATATATATATATATATATTGTTAAAATAATTAAATAAATAAATTGTAAAAAATAACATAGTCATATTGATTTTAGTGCTGTCAAACGATTAATCGCATCCAAAATAAGTTTTTGTTTACATAATATATGAGTGTGTACTGTGTATTATGTATATTTAAATACACACGCATGCATGTATATATTTAAGAAAAATGTTATGTTCATATATTAAATATATTTATATAAAATATAAATGTATATACATGTAAATATTTTCAAAATATATTCTGAATGTGTGTATTTATATATACATAATAAATAAACAGAGTACACATATATTATGTAAACAAAAACTTATTTTGGATGCGATTAATCGTTTGTCAGCACTAATTGATTTATACGTATTTTTATGATATGTATATAATTTTTGAGTGAAATTGTGCAGCAAACCTGGCGCTCTTTTAGGATTTAAAATCACAGTCACATTTTTTTGTTTGTTTTTGTTAGAATAATCGCAGTTACGTGTGGTGTTGTTGTTTCTTTTTTGATAACCGAAATTGTTGTTCTTTACTAGTTACCCAACAACAACCATCTAGTCGACATCTCGACCCAGGCTAGTTGCACCAAAGCTTCTATAAGAGTAACTAACTAGTCATCCTGAAGTGAGTTTTCACAGGAGTGACTCTCTAAACTCTGTAATCCATCGCCGTCGCTTTGAACGGCCTTCTGGGAAATCCAGCTCACTGCAAACCGGCTTTAATGAGGTCTGCTGGAGTCAGAGACTGTAAAACTAGCAGAGTTAAATACTACTTATTATTTTACAGTCTTTACAAGGAGCCATACATCAACATTGTGTTTAAAGTGTTTTTTTAATGATATTAATTTTAAGGATGCATTAAATTGATGAAAAGTGACCGTAAAGACATTTCTAATGTTACAAAAGATTTCTATTTCAAATAAACGCTGTTCTTTTGAACTTTCTGTGCATCTGTGAATCCTGAAAAATAAAATGCATCACAGTTTCCACAAAAATATAACTGTTTTCAACATTGATAATAATCAGAAATGTTTCTCGAGCAGCAAATCAGCATATTAGAATGATTTCTGAAGATCACGTGACACTGAAGACTGGAGTAATGATGCTGAAAATACAGCTGCGCATCAAAGAAATAAATTAGAGTTTAACAGATATTCACATAGAAAACTGCTGTTTGAAATCATAAAAATATTTCCCATTTTTCCTGTATTTTTGCAGAGCGATCTCTAATGATGCAGAGTGAAGACCGCAAGAGAAAGAAACACAGTTTGAACCCCAGAAGCGTGTCAGACGAGTGCAGTCTGCGTGTGAGTACCCTGACCTCTGACCCCTGACCTCTGATCTTCAGTGACTCTCAGAACACACTGATGAGACTTTCTGCTTCTTCTCAGGAGCGACCGAAAGACGAAGCCACAAAGATGAAGAATAAAGTTTCTACTTCACAAGGCAGGAAACAGAATCTTCTTGCATGCTTTATAAGAACACACACTGTGCCGATGAGTCTGGCTTCATGCTATCTAGTGTGTCTAATGTTGCTCTGTATGTCATAGATGTTTTGAGGAGGCAGAAAGGGTTGATGTTTGCGTGTGTTTTCCGCAGCGGTGAGCGGTAAGAAGAAGCCGTGGTCCTGGGATCAGTATCTGGAGGACGAGCGATCTCAAGCCGCTCCTCTGCAGCTCTTCACTGAGGTACAGATTCACTCTCAACACAGCAAAATATTACTCTGAGGCAGATTCATTTAAAATGAACGCATGAACAAATCCAGCATTAGGATGTTTTTAACTAAAATACGAGTCCATAATCCATAATAACACTTCCTCCATCTGCTGTCGTCTCTCACATCAAAATTCAGCCACATATTATTTCTCTCCTGATTCAGACCAGAACACTTTTTCACTGGAGGAAGCGTTATTATGGATTATGGACTCGCATTTTAGACATTAAAAACGTCTTGATGCTGGATTTGTTTCAGCTTTTGTCTTCTCCAGATGTTAACTGATGGACTGGAGTGCTGTGGATTACTTGTGGATTATTGTGATGTTTTTATCAGCTCTCATTCTGACGGCACCCATTCACTGCAGAGCATCCATTGCTGAGACACTGATGCAATGCTACATTTCTCCAAACCTGATGAAGAAATTGCCTATCCCTTAAAATTAACTTTGGTTGCATTGATGCGTAAAATGAGTCTTTTAGTGCAGCACTTATGATGCTGAGGTCATTGGTTTGATTTCCAGTGAAAGCATGAGCTGGTCAAATTTATTGGCTTTGATTAGAAGCGTCTGCCAGATGCATAAATGTCATGACTGTTTTTAGAGAGACTAGAATGTAATGTAATAGTAGGCCAAATGCACTGAACCCCAGCATCGAGTCGTTCGTTGTACAGATGTGATCGCCTCCAGCTGCTGTCTGTGTCGTGTGGAGCGCCGATGCTCTGATTGTTTCTGAAGGGATGCGACTGGTCTTCTGCTCCCCTCGGAAACACTGGAGGCGGTTGCCATGGCAACTCCTTGAAGATGTCCGGCGGTTCTTCTCGTCTCTGAGCGCTTGCGTTTTCTCTTCTAGTTCCAGGCGTTTCCCGACAGCAGGAATGGCTTTAAGGTGGGGATGCGGCTGGAAGGCATCGACCCGCTGCATCCGTCCATGTTCTGTGTGCTGTCTGTGGCCGAGGTCAGAAACTCTCTCGTCACTGCTGTTACTCGCTCTCTTGCTCTCATTAAGCACTCAAAGAGTCGCCTGTATGTGCAATGCATTATAAAGGTATCCATAACGTGCATTGTAATGCATTACAGCATTGCATAAATAATTGTAACCAAAGTTAACATGCATTGGTTGTTTGTTGTGGTTTAATGCATTATCCTTTCTAAGGATGTAACTATGAATAGATAAGAGTTATAATGTATTATAACAATAATTCAAGGATCAAACAATGCATTATAATATGCATGACAAGACATAATTAATGCATGAAAAATAATTGTATAATGCATTGTGTGTATATATAAAAGCTTTAATTAATGTGTTTACAAGATTTTGACACTTAACCTGCATGCATAATTAAAAGCATTACTTTGGTAGCACTTTATATAAAGCCTACACACACACATATACAGTGGGTACGGAAAGTATTCAGACCCCCTTAAATTTTTCACTCTTTGTTATATTGCAGCCATTTGCTAAAATCATTTAAGTTAATTTTTTTTCCTCATTAATGTACACACAGCACCCCATATTGACAGAAAAACACAGAATTGTTGACATCTTTGCAGATTTATTAAAAAAGAAAAACTGAAAAATGCTCAGTATTTAGTAGAAGCACCCATTTGATCTAATACAGCCATGAGTCTTTTTGGGAAAGATCCAACAAGTTTTTCACACCTGGATTTGGGAATCCTCTGCCATTCCTCCTTGCAGATCCTCTCCAGTTCTATCAGGTTGGATGGTAAACGTTGGTGGACAGCCATTTTTAGGTCTCTCCAGAGATGCTCAATTGGGTTTAAGTCAGGGATCTGGCTGGGCCATTCAAGAACAGTCACAGAGTCGTTGTGAAGCCACTCCTTCGTTATTTTAGCTGTGTGCTTAGGGTCATTGTCTTGTTGGAAGGTAAACCTTAGTTCCAGTCTGAGGTCCTGAGCACTCTGGAGAAGGTTTTCGCCCAGGATATCCCTGTACTTGGCCGCATTCATCTTTCCCTCGATTGCAACCAGTCGTCCTGTCCCTGCAGCTGAAAAACACCCCCACAGCATGATGCTGCCACCACCATGCTTCACTGTTGGGACTGTATTGGACAGGTGCCTGGTTTTCTCCACACATACCACTTAGAATTAAGGCCAAAAAGTTCTATCTTGGTCTCATCAGACCAGAGAATCTTATTTCTCACCATCTTGGAGTCCTTCAGGTGTTTTGGTCTGAATACTTTCCGTACCCACTGTATATATAAATATAAAATATTTTTGATGCATTAATTACACCTTGTAATGCACCTTATAATGCATTGTCTCTGATCTCATGAATAATTGTAACCACAGTTATAATTCTTATCTATTCTTTGTTACATCTTGAGAAAGTATAATGCATTAAAACACATGACAGACTAATTTTTAATGTAACAAGGAATATGCTAATATTATAATGCATTTATTTTTTTGGTTACAGTAACTTATATAAAAATATCATGCTTTACATTATACATACCTTTATAATGCATTATGCATAATGGCTTCGAGCAAAGTGTAATCAAGATTTTTAATGAAGTGAATGTTTTTTTTTGTTAAATATAAATTTCCTTTTTTAATGCATTTTGTTTTTGTTTGTTGTCATGATGAATGTAGCTGTAGTCGTTGTCATGGCTTTAAATTATGAACAAAAAGCAGATGCACATGTATTCTTCAGAGAGGAGGATGTCCCAGAATGCATTGCTGCAATGCATAAAACAATGTAGAAATGAATTGCTTTGAATTTAAATGGATGATTTTTTCTGATCTGTTGTGTTTTTGTGCTTGTTTGGAGTATTGCCGGTGAGTGTAGCATCATGTTAATGTGTCTGCTTGAGGTTGAGATTCCTGTCGTTGTTGTTGAAGGTGATTGGCTTCCGTCTGCGGCTGCATATCGATGGTTACTCCGAGTGCTATGACTTCTGGGTAAACGCAGACGCTCCTGACATCAAACCAGCAGGATGGTGCGAGTCGACGGGACACAAACTCCATCCGCCCAAAGGTGCGTTAGTTCTGCTGCATTCGGCTCCATTATCATCCTGTGCCTGCTGTTTGGTCTTCTGTAAGATAATAAACATGTCATCTGAATAGATTAAATCCAGTATATTGAGCTGATGGGGGAATCTCATTAAAGCAGTCCAGAAGATGTCTGGAGTCACCACAAAATGAGAAAAAAAAAAAAAAAACAGATAATTATAATAATAAAAATAACAGTTAATTTAATGTATTTCCTCTGAAACGTCTGGTCATTTTAGGTAAATTTAGTTTAGATGTTTTTCTGGAAAAAAAATAATTGCACCATTTGTTGTACATTTTTCTGTTTATTCTGATTTAAATAAAAACATTATTATTTTTATTCATTAGCATTTTTATTCTTTATTTAATTTTTTTATTGTTGTTGTTAACTAAATCTATTGAAAATCGTTTTCATTAATAGAAGTAAAGCTGAAACAAGAAATTAAACTGAAATTACTAAAATTGCTGAAATGCTGAAATAAAATAAGGATAAATAGAAATATTAAAGAGTAAAAATAAAGCATGTGACAAAGTGACTAAAACTTAGATTAAAATTTAAAAGTTAATTCAATAAATGTTTTCTAAAATATATTTTTATTTATTTTATTTTGCCTCTCATGTGAATTTGTCTTGTTTAAAGGGTGTTTAAATATTTTTTTCTGGAAAACAAATCATTGTAGTGTTTGTTGAACACTCTTCAGCTTATTCTGATTTTATTTTTATTTATTTGTTTATTTTATTATTTATTAATTCATTTAATACTGTAAATAAAACTCTTGCAGTAATGGGAATCGGTTTGAGAAATGTGTTTAATTATTATTTTTTATAATGCCAAACTTCTTCATGCATTTGTGTTTATGTGAAATATTATTCCTTCAATTTTTCTTTAGATTTTAAGGTGAAATGTGACCCGGATGTGTTTAGTGTCGTCATCTTTCTGATTTATTTATTCTGTATTTTGTGTGGTCAGGTTACAAACAGAACGAGTTTAACTGGGAGAAATATCTGGAGGCCTGTAACGCTCAAGCAGCACCAGAGACCCTCTTCAGAGCCAGCGTAAGTCCGTCATTACCAGTGTTGAGGGAAACACGAGTTACGTAATCAGATTACTTTTTTAAAGTAACTAGGAAAGTAACACATTACTTGTTCATTTAGAAGGAAGTCTGAGTTACTTTGTTTCCATGTGTTGAGTGACAGCTCTGGTGTTGCCATGGTGACAGAAATCAGGAGTAAGTGCAGAGCGTTGTGTGTGAACATGATCTTACTGTAGTTCTAGACTAAATATGAACATGTGTTTACTCAAAAACACATTCAGCGTTCCTCACAATCAATAAAAACCGTCCAATGCAAACTCAGAATATTATACAAACCTGCAATAATTAAATATGTTAAATAAGACAAATATCATTTATGTATTTAATCACATTTTATTAAGCGCATTCACTTCACTTCTGTTGTGAAAGGGCTTTACATTTGTAAAATAACTTTTAATATTAAAAACAAACAAGCAAGCACTTCCCAGATTTAAAAATTAACTAAGTAACGTAATTAGTTACTTTTTTAGGGAGTAACGCAACATTGTAATGCATCACTTTTAAAAGTAACTTTCCCCAGCGCTGGTCATGACTCACGACTCATCTGAACACAGATTAGAGATGTTGTGAATGTCGCTAACGAGCGGTTTCTCGTCACAGGAGTCGAGCGGCTCGGTGTTTGAGGTGGGCATGAAGCTGGAGGCGGTGGATCGTAAGAACCCGTGTCTGGTGTGTGTGGCCTCCGTAGCCGACATCGTGGACCAGCGCTTCCTGGTGCACTTCGACAACTGGGACGACACCTACGACTACTGGTGACGAACACTAACTAACCCGTCACAGTCATGCTGGTTAAACACACAGGCCTTCTTTATGTGGTTATACGGGTAAATGCCATGGTAATCCACTTATATCATGGGAATACCATAATATTCCTTGAAGCAATGTTACCATGTATCTATATTAGGTTGAAGTACTACATTTACAAAAACTGAAATAAAATAAAGATAAATAAAAATTACAAAAAAATCTGAAAATATAAAAATAACATCTAAAATATGAATAGAAACTATAATAGTATGTAAATAATACTAAAGTTCAAGTTGAATCATTCAATTCAATTAATTAAATAAATTAAATCACTGTAAAAAAAAAAAAAAAGTAACTAAAACTAGAAGTAAAATAAAATAAATGAAATCTAAAAAGTAATATTAAAAAGCACCAAAATGACTAAAATGAAATAAAATAAAGATAAATTGAAATATTTAATATAAATGACAGAAGCACATAACAAAATGACTAAACCTGAAATAAAATAAATTAAAGATATATTGAAATGTTTAATAAAAATGACAAAAGCACATAAGAAAAATTTTAATAAAAATAAATACAAATGACAAATGCACATAAGAAAATTTAAATAAAATGAAAATAAATGAAAATGACAAATGCACATAAGAAAATTTAAATAAAATGAAAATGACAAATGCACATAAGAAAATTACTCAAATTTAAATAATATAAAAATAAATGAGAATGACAAAAGCACATAACAAAATTACTACAACAAAAAATTAATTTAAAGATAAATTGAAATATTTAATACAAATAACAGAAAAAATGAGAAAAGCACATAACAAAATCAAAAAATGTAAATAAAAAAGTTAACATTTAAAAAAATGCTCATTTAAAATATAAGTAATATGAGCTGTATGTATATAATCTGTTCAAGTGCCCAAATATGCAAAACCCCTAATGAATATATGAATATTCTATGCATTTTAAAAAGGTGCTGCGAGATCAGGGCCGATGAAAGATAAAGATCACAGTAGCATAACGATGATTGTTTAATGGAGGTTTGATGTAATGGAAGTGTGTGTGATATTCTGCGGAGGCTGTGACTGTATTTGTGTGTTCTCTGATCTTCATCATCATCATCATCATCTCTCCAGCAAATTAATAGTATCGCATTAATATCCGCCCATGCTTATGTAAGGAGTGTTTATAATGCCTGATTGATTCGCGTTTGTTTCGGTGTTTTACATAACGCACCGCATCACATCACTGCTGGGATTTGCTCGTGAAATCCCTGGAGAGGAAGACGAGGTAAAATTAGAATCCGGCCCACACAGAGAGAGACGTGTATAAACGGCTCAGAGCAGAAACACCATGGAGTCTGAGAGCGTGTTATTACGGTCTGCGTCCAGCAGGAGAAGCTGCGTGTCTGTAGATATACGGCCAGAAGCCCTCGCATACTGTAAACACACTTGCCCTGTCAAACCATTGAAGTGCAATATGCAGAAATAATGATTATTCCTTTGGTTGGATAAACAAGCCTTGCATCATTGGTTGCACTGCAAAAAGTTATTTTTTTCCCCCTCAGTATATGAATTATTAAAATTAAAACTGAAACAAAAATAAAGATTTAACATTTAGAAATATTTAAATATTTTAATAAGTAAAAATGAAAAAAAAAACTACAAAAATAATTTGTTACAAAAGTAACTCAAAGTGAAAACTGAAAATAAAAAAATATAAAAATAAAAGCAAATTCAATATATGAATAATGTAATGTTATATAAATAATACTACAGTAACATGGGATGTGGGATAAAGTTAAAGGGGGTGTACTAGAACATGCTCATGCTTGGTGGTTCAAAAAAACGCATTATTTTTTACATGATTTACATTATTACAATACCTCTCTCCCCAGCCTGGCACGAACGGCTCAATTAGTTCCAGGTTTGATGAAGGCCCGCCTTCCGAAAAATGAAATGTGATTGGTTAGCTGTCCCAGTGCGTTGTGATTGGACGGTGTTTCAGTACTGCCCCGCCCCTTGCCAAAGCTGCAAGTTTAGTTAAGGATGGCATATCAAATTGAGCCGGATTCAGACCCAGGGAATATTGAACAAGAGGATCGCGCAGAACCTTTGCACGCACGGATATTGCAAGACATATAGAGATCAGGGTTTCCCCGGTAACGGCTGTACACAAAGCAGCGCTCCGCTCACAAACACTGCTTTATCAGACATTACATGCAAGATTACATGAAAATGACTGAAGACTGAAGACAGTCGGTTTCCTTCAGAAATACAGTGATATAAAAACACCCGCACTCAATGTATGGGAAACACTGTAGTCTCGTAATTGATTACAAACTGACTTTGTAATCTGACTTTGAGATTTGTAAGTTTGAAGATCTTTTTTATGCCCAAACACACACACTACACACTGACTAAAATTCAAAAGGTGAAAAAGCATAATAGGACCTCTTTAATACAGCAGTTTGATATTAACTAAAACTATTAAACAAGCTGAAATAAAATATAAACATTAGATGAAAAACTTACATTTAAAAAAACTTAAAGTGCAATGGAAATAAAATGTTTGTTAAAATAAATTAAAGATAAATAGAAATATTTAATAAAAAATTACAAAAGCATATATCAAAATTACTAAAAAATTTTATTAAAATGAAACTTTTAAAAATATAAAAATAAAAGCGAATTCAAAATCTGAAGGAAAATATATAGTAGTATATAAATAAAAGCACCCGCACTCAATGTATGGGAAACACTGTAGTCTCGTAATTGATTACAAACTGACTTTGTAATCTGACTTTGAGATTTGTAAGTTTGAAGATCTTTTTTATGCCCAAACACACACACTACACACTGACTAAAATTCAAAAGGTGAAAAAGCATAATAGGACCTCTTTAATACAGCAGTTTGATATTAACTAAAACTATTAAACAAGCTGAAATAAAATATAAACATTAGATGAAAAACTTACATTTAAAAAAACTTAAAGTGCAATGGAAATAAAATGTTTGTTAAAATAAATTAAAGATAAATAGAAATATTTAATAAAAAATTACAAAAGCATATATCAAAATTACTAAAAAATTTTATTAAAATGAAACTTTTAAAAATATAAAAATAAAAGCGAATTCAAAATCTGAAGGAAAATATATAGTAGTATATAAATAAAAGTTATAATGTTGTAGTTAAAGTTCATTTTAATTCACTGAAATTAATAACTGGAAATAAATAAACTAAACCTTAACTAAAACTAAAGGTTTTAAATAAAAAAACCTTAAGTAAAGTAAAGGTAAGTAAAGGTAAAATAAAAATAAAATCTTAATAGGAACATAAAGTACTAAAACAATAAAAACTGAAATTAACAAATAAAAATGACAAAAGCACATAAGAGATAACTAAAAGTAGAATAAAATAAACTTAAATACAAATAATTAATACAAATAAATGAAAATGACAAATGCAGATAAGAAAATTAGTAAAATTCAAATAAAATAAAAATAAATAAAAATGACAAATGCACATAATATATTTACTAAAATTTAAATAAAATGAAAATAAATAAAAATTACAAATGCACAAGAAATTTACTAAAATTTAAATAAAATGAAAATAAATAAAAATTACAAATGCACAAGAAATTTACTAAAATTTAAATAAAATGAAAATAAATAAAAATGAGAAATGCACATAAGAATATTACCAAAATTAAAAAAAAATGAAAATGACAAATGCACATAAGAAAATTACTAAAATTTAAATAAAATGAAAATAAATAAAAATGACAAATGCACATAAGAAAATGACTAAAATTCTAATAAAATAAAAATAAATGAGAATGACAAATGCACATAAGAAAATGACTAAAATTTAAATAAAATAAAAATAAATTAGAATGACAAATGCACATAAGAAAATTACTAAAATTCAAATAAAATGAAAATAAATGAAAATGACAAATGCACATAAGAAAATTACTAAAATTTTAATAAAATGAAAATCAATGAAAATGACAAATGCACATAAGAAAATTACTAAAATTTTAATAAAATGAAAATCAATAAAAATGACAAATGCACATAAGAAAATTACTTAAATTTGAATAAAATAAAAATAAATTAGAATGACAAATGCACATAAGAAAATTACTAAAATTTAAATAAAATACAAATAAATTAGAATGACAAATGCACATAAGAAAATTACTAAAATTTAAATAAAATACAAATAAATAAAAATGACAAATGCACATAAGAAAATTACTACAATTCAAATTAAAAAAAAAAAAATGACAATGACAAATGCACATAAGAAAATTACTAAAATTCAAATAAAATGAAAATCAATAAAAATGACACATGCACATAAGAAAATTACTACAATTCAAATAAAATAAAAATAAATGACAATGACAAATGCACATAAGAAAATTACTAAAATTCAAATAAAATGAAAATCAATAAAAATGACACATGCACATAAGAAAATTACTAAAATTTAAATAAAATAAAAATAAATGACAATGACAAATGCACACAAGAAAATGACACAAATTTAAATAAAACAAAAATGATGTGTTATGAAGGGAGTCCAGCAGGTTGACGGTGTGTTCTGTGTTTCCTCAGGTGTGACGCCAGCAGCCCCTACATTCACCCGGTGGGCTGGTGTCAGGATCACGGCCGGCCGCTCACAGCTCCTCAGGGTGAGAATCATATTCCTCATGCGTTCAGTGTTACTGCTGTCACATGACTGCATGCAGAAGCGTTTAGAGAGGACCGCTCGTGGATGAGATGGGAAGATCAACAGATCTTGTGTTGAGATTCACACGTCTGTAGCTCACGGCGTTCACGTCTGATGTGATGGTGTTCGGTGAGCTGAGAGATTTCATTACAGACGCTGGGTATTAAACCCTCCTCGTGTTATTTACAGGAGCAAACAGCAAAAAGCTGCTCATCTGGAAGGACAAACTCTTGCGGTTCCACTTGAAATGACTTTATATTCGCGCTCAGAGTTAATGTCAACATCTTGTATTGGCTCTTTATATTCAGACTAATTTATTTGCACCACAGACTAACTGTCAAACACTAATTACCCAGTGCGAGTTGTAATTAAATGCACAGTGATTAATGAAGCCGTCTTACAGTCCTGCACAGAGGTAGAATTTAATAACAGAATTGATTCTGTTGTTTTCCGGTTTATTATTATGAAGCTGCTTCTGAAATAATCTGTGTTGTTTAAAGCACTGTAGATGTAAATGTGACTAGAATTGAGAAACTGCACACATAAAAAAAACACATTCGATATAAACATACTGCTGCTTTCAGAACTCTAATACATTATATAATAGAATAGAATTTTGGGTCACACTTTAAAGTAAGGTCCTATAAGTTAACTTTGCTCAGTGCATTAACTTAGAATAGAATAGAATTTTGGTCACATTTTAAAGTAAGGTCCTGTTAGTTAACTTTGCTCAGTGCATTAACTTTAATATAATATAATTTTGGGTCACACTTTAAAGTGTTTAACTTTACTTTATGCAACTAATTTAATTAATAATATAATAAATATAACATAAGTTAACTTTGCTCAGTGCATTAAAATAGAATATAATATAATTTTGGTCACACTTTAAAGTAAGGTCCTGTTAGTTAACTTTGCTCAGTGCATTAACTTAGAATAGAATAGAATAGAGTTGTGGTCACACTTTAAAGTAAGGTCCTGTTAGTTAACTTTGCTCAGTGCATTAACTTTAATATAATATAATTTTGGGTCACACTTTAAAGTGTTTAACTTTACTTTATGCAACTAATTTAATTAATAATATAATAAATATAACATAATGCATTAACTAACAATGAGCAATATGTTTGTTAGCATATTTATAATTTTTTATCCATTACATAATAGTAAGACACAACTTTTGAATGTACTTTTTAAATGTTGAAATGAACATTAAGCTAAGATTAATAATAGGCTATAGAATTAATTAATAAAAGGCTGTAGAAGTATTTTTCATTGTTAGTTCATGTTAACTAATGTAGAACCTTATTGTAATTTCTTATTGTTTGAACAAGATATGTTCCTGAGGTTCATCCATAAATGTTTCATTAACAGTTTTCATTTTCTTATTCTTTATTATACCGCGGAACATGTGTGTGTTGTGTTGCACATGGCGAAGCTGAAAATGTGAACGCATGGCAGTAAAAGCGTGTGTAATGTGTGTTTATGTCTGTGAGTGGAACGTACAGGTTAGTTTGTGTGATTGTGATTGTTGTAGGACACCCGAACCCAGAGCACTTCGTCTGGGAGGAATATATGGAGGACGCAGGTGCGTCTGTGGCTCCCAGTCAAGCCTTCAGTGTGGTGAGACACGCTTCATAATACATTTACATTTAGACACTTAGCAGATGCTCTTATCCACAGCGACTTACAAATGAGGACAATAGAAGCAATCAAAACCAATGATATGCAAGTGTTATAACAAGTCTCAGTTAGTTTAATATATATATATATATACACACCGCATGCATAATTATTAGGCACGTTGATATTCTGATCAATTCCAATTCCAAACCACGTCAATCTTAATAACTACTATTAATTTTGTATTTAATCATTTATGAGTGATATATAATTGTCCATGAAGGCTGGAAGTGAAAAACTCCTTATATTCAGGCGTGCAGAATTATTAGGCATGTTTTCTTTTACTGATAAAATGAGCCAAAAAAGAGGTTTAACTCATATATTCAAAATATACAGAAATATTCAAAACTAATGCAATACAGAAAATGCAAAGTTAAGACGTGACCATTGGACAGCGAAATGCTCACTGGGTCAGCGAAGAAAAGACACATGTTAACGGCAAAAGATAAAAAAATTTATGTGAAGAATTAGGTTTAAAACCATCAGGAAACATTTAGTCTCCATTTTCCAGAATTGCAACCTTCCTGGAGTCTCCAGAAGTGCAATGTTTCAGGTTCTCAGAGACTGTGCTTGGGTAAAAAAAATCATAAAAGATGACCCTCACTTAATAAGAATAACATGCTGAAGTGTTGTGAAATACATTAACCCCCGGTTTCACAGACAAGGCTTAAGCTTAGTCCCAGACTTAAGTGTAAGTCTGAGCTGTTTCAACTGAAAGAAACTTGCACTGATTGATCTTTAAATATATCAGTGCCTTTGTTTTGTCTCGAGATGCACACCAGTAATGTTTTTTTCTAAGGCACGTTTATAAAAATTACTTAAATGTCCTAATTGAACTATGACCGAATCCTGGCTTAGTCTAAGCCCTGTCTGTGAAACCGGGCCTAAGACTGATTTTTTATAGGTTTTATAGACGGATAAGTTGCGAGTGACCAGCGTCACATCCTCTTGTACCACTGTTTGAAGAGTTTATCTTCTAGAATCTGTCAGTAAGCTAAAATAGATGTGTTCTGAGCGCTGTGTGTTCCTGCAGAGATCGCCACACGGCTTCCAGACGCGCATGAAGCTGGAGGCGGTGGACAGACGGAACCCCATGCTGATCCGCGTGGCCACCGTCGCCGACACCGAAGACCACAGAGTCAAAGTGAGGAAGAGTTCGGCTTCTAGTCACAGCTTGACTGATTAAATCATCCGCAGTCTTTGTAAACATTCCTGATAAACAACATTAGACTCGATGGCTTTCATGCAAGAGCAAATGGACTGATGATTTATTGTTTACGTTTACATAGGGCTGGACAATAATTCAATATCAATATGTATCGCGATATAATTTTTTTCAATAACGGTGATATCATTTTTAAACACATTTCCGATATTCCAATTACCAGTGTTTCCCACACATTGATTTATTTGTGCCGTTTGACTTCGTTGAATAAACATGAGCACTGCACGTTTCAAAATCAAAAAATGTCGCGGGTGTTTTATATAAATGTATCTGTGAAGGGAACCGACTGTCTTCAGAAAAGTTTCGATACTTCCAGTTTTTGTTGTTCAATTTTTTTGTTTTCTGAAGGACTCGGAGCACTTTTCATACCCTTTTTTTTTTCTGGCTGAAGCACATTTGTTTAAATCTATAAGAATAATCAGCCTACACTACCAGTCAAAAGTTTTTGAACAGTAAGATTTTGCACTATCATGTATGTCTGCACTATGTTTGTACTTTCTTCTACACTGGAAGCTCCTGTCGTCAAGTCAAATTCCTTGTGTGTGTAAACATACTTGGTAATAAAGCTCTTCTGATTCTGATTCTGATATTTATCTGAAATACAAATCTTTGTAACATTCTAAATGTCTTCACTGTTACTTTTGATCAATTTAATGCGTCCTTGAGGAATAAAAGTATTCACCTCTTTCAAAATTTAAATCTTCCTGAACTCAAATCTTTTGAATGACAGTGTATATAGTTCTATCTGTGAAGAAAATAATTGGTTACACTTTATTTTCAGGTGTCCTTGTTACAGAGTAGTACTGAGTAATATTATTTAACTACATGTACTTGCTATATAGGGTTGTTATTTTATGTAATTATGCATAATTTATTGTTATTATAATAGTAAGTACATGTAACATGTGTAACAAGGACACCTTAAAATAAAGTGTTACCAAATAATTCATTTATTGGTTCATTTTTAGACTAAGAGAAACTGTATGTGAATGATCCGAATGAATGCTGGTCTGTTATTGTGGTTTGGTTTATTGTTGCTCAGGTGCATTTTGACGGCTGGCATGAGAAGTTTGATTTCTGGGTGGATTCAGACCTGCCGGATCTTCATCCCATGGGCTGGTGCTCCAGGACGGGTCACCCGCTCGAACCTCCGCTCCGTGAGTCTCTGCTTACTCTCACACTCACACGACAGACGCTTGAGCTGCAATACAAGCTCGTGCATAAGAGCACGCAATCGCTATATAAAGTACATTATTTAGAAATGTGTCTTGCTGAGATTTAGCTAAAGCTAAACCTAAAACCATAAGAATGTTATTTTTTTTGCTTCAAATAAACGTTAACTGAAAAAAAAATATTTGTTTGATTGGATCCATATAAAGAAATACATTAAAAAGCATGTAAGAAAATACAAAACTACATGAATCCACAACAATAAAAGTCAATTCAATAAAACATACAAACCCAAAATTCATTCAAATCATCAAAATCAACAATTTGCTGTATACTGTGTCATTAAATATTCCTTTAAAGATTTTACTTATTAAAAAATATGTAATGTCCGATGGCAAATCATTCCATATTTTCATTCCTCTATACATTACAGTCCGTTGCTCAGCATTCGTTTTTGAAATAGGAAGTAAAAAACAAAAAAAGTTAAATATAGAAAACATTTTATTTAAAAAAGAAAAATGTAAAAAACATATTTTATTTCAGCGAATTGCCATGGCGAAATTTCTCATTTGCATTTAGTTTAACTAAAATAGTACTAAAATGATACTGGTAAAATTAATCCACATTTATGCAGAATTTTAAATGCAGATTTGAGAGCTTGTAACGTAGGTGCATCCACCTGAAGTGTGTGAGTGTGTGTGTGTGTGTGTGTGTGTGTGTGAGTGTGAGAAAGAGAGTGTGTGTGTCTGTTCCCATTATGCCACACTTATAGATCACATGATGAATGACCTGAAAGATGTGAAATTTTACAGTGTTTAGCATGATGTATGAAGTGTTATTATCATCTGTGTGTGTGTGTGTGTGTGTGTGATGAACTGAAATAGCTGCAGCTCACTAGAGGACGAGTAACGCTGTACAAACGCCTTTCTACTGCAGGCTGATGTCCCGCGCTCACTCTCTGTGTGTGTGTGTGTTTTTCTGCAGCTCACGTAGGGCTGTCAGACATGAAGAGCTCCGTGACGCAGGGTGTGTGTCCAACCCCGGGCTGCAGGGGCATCGGCCACATCAAAGGAGCAAAATACACCGGACACCACAGGTGAGACGCACAGACACACCTCAACCATCATTCTTCATCACTTACTCTTTATTCAGTAGGATATAAAACAGTCTTCACATCACACTTTTCCATTCTGTGAAAATGTGAGAATGAGAATTATTGCCAAGTATGCTTAAACACACACACAATGAGTTTGTCTTGGTAACAGAAGCTTGTAATGCACAGACAAAATAACTATAAAAAGTACAGATACAGAAGCGAAAAAGAAATATATAAATGACCCTCTTATATTATATCAGTATATAATAGTGGTGCAGTATACTTCCCCAATATCTGCACCACTGCAAATGTGATATTGATTCATACAGCAGTTCAATAAACAAGATGTTCTTCTAGTGTTACATTTTAGAGACCGTTTGTCTGTTTTTGGTCAATTTCACAAATAAAAAAAAATAGTTCCAATCAAAGCCACAGCAGAACTGTTGAGCATCTCTGATCAACACACTGCAATGATTCATTACTGAACGAACCAAATGATTCAGTGATTCCTTTATGCAGACGGTCTCTTGCTTAATTTCTGAATGCATCAGCCGTTTGAACAAATTGGTTGAATGAATGATTCAATGACTCACCCACTACGGACAGTTTAATTTAAAAAAAATCTTTTCATATTTCAAAATTTTGATTTCTTTTTAAACACCCATTTATCTCAGTATTATGTCATTCTAATTGTGGTATAAATGCATTCATGCCATGTCTGAACAGTGTAAATATTCCTAAATGGCGCTTCTGAAAACAATCTTATGGCCAAATTGTAGCATTAAACGTTTATGCGTATTAAGTTATATGCTGAATGCTGAAGGATTCTTAGCCTTAATTGATGTGCGAATAATTGACAAATCATTTAATTAATTAGATGCAAATGTGAATCGCTTGGCAGCTGTAGTTCAGAGTTTGAGAGAGTTTCTCTCAGTAGCGTCTGCTCATAAACAAACCATAAACGAGCCCAAAATTTGCCCTAATTTTTTAGTGAAAGGATTCGGCTTTTTTTTAGAAAGCCACTTCTGATTACACAGAGCAAGACAGAATAAGAAAATAAGCGTTTTATAGCAGCGAAATCCTCTCTGCTTAGAAACCGACTGGACTGGCTTTCATTAAAAGCTCATTTACATGTATTTGCATATGCAAACTAGCTATTTAAGCAGAAGCGTAGCGTCACGGTGCGATCCGGCGGACAGGTGAACAATACCAGAGCGTTTCCGTGTTCGTGGATTTTAATGAACGTCCTCCAGAGTTAAAAGAGTTTGACGCTCAGTATCGGTTTATATGAGACATACAGTAAACTACATAGTTAATTTAACACATTAAAATGAGTCATCAAAGCAACTTCATAATCTTCTCCTGCCTCGTCTGCTGGAGCTTCATCAGTTATGCTTTATTAGAAATGAACTTATTATGTGTTATAGTGTAGGATGAGAAACATGTAAAGTTGTTATTTCATATTTCAGTATTCAGTTTCTTTTTATATCATAGCATTATTTATGCAATTCTAATTGCAGTCTAAAGTAATGAGTGTGTGTGTGTGTTTACATAATATATGTGTGTGTACTGTGTATATATATATATTATGTATATATATATATATATATATATATATATAGACACTATGCATGTGAAAATATTTACATGCATATAATTTGTATATATATATATATATATATTTAATATATAAGCATACCATTTTTCTTAAATATATACATGGATGTGTGTGTATTTACAGTATATATGCATAATAAATATACACAATGCACACACATATATTATGTAAGCAAAAACTTTTATTTTGCATGCGATTAATCGTTCGACAGCACTAAATATAATGCAACATTTCTATTTCTCACTCAAATACTTCAAAAGATTTGTAATATAGTGCACAAATCATATGTACTACTGCCGCATTTGCTGTTATTATTTGTTGTAATTGCATTGAAAAGAGTGACCAGCACATTTTACATTACTCTTTTCAATGCAATTTTATCCAAAGAACTTTACATTGCATTTAAAGTAAAATACATTTCTCTCAGTCCTTGCATTAAATAAGAATGGTGCCCTCTGCACTGTGAGGTTTAATCTGGAGTTCAGGATTCTCTGCACACATGCTGTATTTGTGTGAATGTGTGGAGCTCTCTTATACAGAACTACATGTGTTAAATGTGTTAGACTCATTTAACTGCACCGTAGACCTCTGAGGGTTCAGGTGTGGGGGATGGCTTGAATCTGTTTGCATGCACAGATCTGCATAAACATCTTGGCACACCGGTGTGGAATTGGCGTTTTTGCCTTACTAAAATATCAGAAAATATGCCACAAAATCCTCCTCCTCGTATTGCTGACTTGATGAGAATTACTGTAGAAGCAGCAGGAATCTGAAATCTTACATAAACATATTCGCCTCAAGCATATTCCTCTTCTAGTAACTACTGTACATATACTTGGATGAGGATTAGGGCTGAACGATTTTGGAAAATAATCTAATTGCGATTTTTTTTACCAATATTGCGATTGCGATTTAATATGCAATTATTTTTTTTAAAGCTCTTTATGTTCTGTATTATTCAACAAAGACAAGCTATAAAGGATTGAACTTTTAATATGATAACATTTTCGGTTGCATGACTTTTAATTGCAGCATGGTTATTGTAGTTAACTAAAAGTAAAACTGAAACTAAAATATAAAACATAAAAACTAAATACGTTTTTTTTTTTTTTATGTATTGTGAAATGAAAAAATGTTGACTGAAATAAAGTAATAAAATAAACTTTTCTCATTTTCATTTAGTTACTAAAATTACTAAAACTTAAATAAAATATAATAACTATATACACATTTATTTAAAAAAAATACAAAAATGACAAAAACGCAGGAAAATTACTAAAATTAAAATGGAAAAGGAAAATGTATTCATAAAAAAAATTCACAATATTAATAAAAAAAATATGATCTCAATACTAAAATAACACTGGATTGCAGTAAACAAATTTAACTCTTTTAGTATCATTGAGATACTGTTATTTATACTAGATGTACTATTATTATTTTTATTATTTTAATGAAATATATATTCGTTTTTATTTTTATTCGTTAAATGTTTTAGTTATTTTGTTTTGTGTATTTGTCATTTGTTTTTTAATGTGCCTGTATAGTTTTTATTAATTTTTATTTCAGTTTTAGTTATTTTAGCACGTACAGTTAAATGACAAATAAAAGTAAAAAATGTAAATGAAAATGAGAAATGTTGCTTTCGCAAATATTTTTATATTTTATACATTTTTATAGGTTTTTATATTTATATTATTCAAGAGATTCATTCAAAAACACTGATTCATCCCGTAATGAAACGAGTGAATCTTGAGTGAGTCATTGAATCATTCCATTCATAAATGCCATGAGGTTTTGTTTAGTCGTCTAATGTTTTTTCTTCAGAATTGTGAGAGAACTACAACCTCCATTAAAAATAAAAAAGTCTCAGTTTATCCAGAATCGTGCCGCTCTATTTTGCACACAAACAGCTCTTAATCGAGTCCAGTTTTTATGTAGCCTGACTCAGTTTATCCAGAATCGTGCCGCTCTATTTTGCACACAAACAGCTCTTAATCGAGTCCAGTTTTTATGTAGCCGGATGATTTTTGTTCACGGTACTCTAAAGCAATAATCCCTGTGAAGCTGTGGTTTACAGTGAATTTATAACAGCTAAGGGGCGTTGTTGACGCGGAGTGCCTAAAACCCCTTTAAGCTGTTATAAATTCACGGTTATTCCATATACGTAGTAAGGTTTCACAAAATAAAAGAGAGCAAATAAAGTGTAATATATTAATAAAAACAGTATTCTTCCACCAAACAATGTAGTTCCTCAGAAACAGTTGTGGTTGCAACAAAGTGGTTGCCGAGCAACACACAAACGTAAACAAAGGTGTGTTACTTTGTAGAGTCATTTACAACAGCTTCGAACGCGGCTCAGCCAATCAGAATCAAGCACCGGAACTATCTGTTTTATAAAGCAGCAATTAAATGTTTTGCACAAAGAGACTAAGAACAGATGAGAGTATTACTGTAGACCTGGATCAGACAGGCTCGTGGTCATCTCTCTGTGTCCCTCAGTGCCTTCGGTTGCCCGTATTCTGACATGAACATGAAGAAAGAGGTGGTGCTTCCCGACCGGCTCGGAGGAGAGAAGCAGATCACCTTCATCCCTGTGACCAAACGCTTGTGTCCAGACGAGGAGGAGGAGGAGGAGGAAGATGGGAGCGAGGAGATCAGCCATGTGGACAACAGGTTTGTGAATCAAACTGAGATACCGTCTCCCACAATGCAGTTCAGTGCTCCCTTAAAGGTCCCCTGAAATGCTTAGAAACACGCAGTGTTACTTTTATCTGAAACAGGAAGACAGGGCGGGACATATCAAGCAGCTCCGCCCCTTTTTAAATCTGAATCGTTCCCTGTCCCCTATATAGTGTACGTGCCATTCACTGTACAGAAAATACTAATTCTGTGGACAAGCGACCGATTTCAGACGCGGCTTCAGCATCTATTTTATAGTGTAGGGGGCGGGGCTTCGGAGAGCAGGATAACTCTTGCTGATGTGTGTGTGTCTCAGGGAGATGATGGCGGCGTGTGACGGAGCTCCTCGTCTGCGCGGTCGGCCTGCGATGATGAAGAAAGAGCTCAAAGACGAGCCGCTGACGGCGTCGCTCCTCGGGAAGAGAGCTCATTTACCCAGCAGGTGATCCTCGCATAAAGCTGAATAAATAATCTTTCCATTGATGTATGGTTTGTTAGGATAGGACAATATTTGGCTGAGATACAACTATTTGAAAATCTGGAATCTGAGGGTGCAAAAAAATCTAAATATTGAGAAAATCACCTTTAAAGTTGTCCAAATGAAGTTCTTAGCAGTGCATATTACTAATCAAAAATTAAGTTTTGATATATTTACGGTAGGACATTTACAAAATATCTCTTTACTTAATATCCTAATGATTTTTGGCATAAAAGAAAAATTTATAATTTTGAGATACAATGTATTGTTGGCTATTGCTACAAATATACCCCAGCGACTTAACACTGCTTTTGTGCTGCAGGGTCACATATTACAGATAGGCTTTAATGTAATTTTTAATTTGTATAAAAGGTGTTTCGTGATGTTTTAGGAGTGCGCTAGCATAAGGATGAGTTCAGTTGATTTAAAGAGTTAATTCACCATAAAATTATCATTCTGTCATTATTTTGACTTACTTTCATCTTCAGAGCACACATTTTCATCCATTCATTAAAGTACACAGGGTCCCTGTTTAACGTAAAAGCTCTTAGAATTCAGTTTTCTAAAATTTGTATTGTTTTTTTTGTTTTAATTAGATTTAAAGTCATAAAAAGTCTTAAATATTAAATATTCTAAAAGGTGTGATTGTAAGAGGTCTTAAATTTGGGGACAGAAAAACAGGAATTGTTGTTTGGCCTAATGTGGGTGTATTATGATTGTTATTAACTAAAACTAAAACCATAAAATTAAAACTAAAAATTAAATGAACTTTTAAAAAAACAATTTTCATATAAAATAAATATTAACTGAAATAAAATGTATAAAAATAAAATATTTAGAAAATAAAAAACTAACTAAATGATAAATGTCACCTTGGCATCTAGTTTAAGGTGAAGTACTAAAATAACTAAAATTACAGCTAAAATAAAAAAAAACTATGTAGACATTAAAAAAAACTAATAAAATGTAAAAAAAAAAAAAACTTTACATTTAGAATTAAAGGGGTCATATGATGCTGCTAAAAAGAACATTATTTTGTGTATTTGGTGTAATGAAATGTGTTTATGCGGTTTAAAGTAAAAAAAAAGTGCGCTAGCATAAGGATGAGTTCAGTTGATTTAAAGAGTTAATTCACCATAAAATTATCATTCTGTCATTATTTTGACTTACTTTCATCTTCAGAGCACACATTTTCATCCATTCATTAAAGTACACAGGGTCCCTGTTTAACGTAAAAGCTCTTAGAATTCAGTTTTCTAAAATTTGTATTGTTTTTTTTGTTTTAATTAGATTTAAAGTCATAAAAAGTCTTAAATATTAAATATTCTAAAAGGTGTGATTGTAAGAGGTCTTAAATTTGGGGACAGAAAAACAGGAATTGTTGTTTGGCCTAATGTGGGTTTATTATGATTGTTATTAACTAAAACTAAAACCATAAAATTTAAACTAAAAATTAAATGAACTTTTAAAAAAACAATTGTCATATAAAATAAATATTAACTGAAATAAAATGTATAAAAATAAAATATTTAGAAAATAAAAAACTAACTAAATGATAAATGTCACCTTGGCATCTAGTTTAAGGTGAAGTACTAAAATAACTAAAATTACAGCTAAAATAAAAAAAAACTATGTAGACATTAAAAAAAACTAATAAAATGTAAAAAAAAAAAAAACTTTACATTTAGAATTAAAGGGGTCATATGATGCTGCTAAAAAGAACATTATTTTGTGTATTTGGTGTAATGAAATGTGTTTATGCGGTTTAAAGTAAAAAAAAGTATCACATTCGTCGTGATCGCGTTACGTCATTGTTTGGTACAATTTATTGTGTCTTTTCGCTTATCCGGTTAATTTCGGTTGCCGAACATTCGGTGCATCCCTAGAATTAACCTTTTTGGATAAACTGTCGCTTTAATGCATCTCTTTATCTGTTTGCAGCCATGAATCATTGATGTTTAATTTACTCTTAATTGCTGAATGTTTGTGAGGCTTTTAACATCCTCTGAACATCCACAGATAAAAGAGTCGCTCGGAGCCGTTTGCAGTCAGACTGTCGCTCTCATTGAGTCTGGTGTGTGTGTGTGTGTGTGTGTAACACTTCAGCAAAACATGCTCAGCTCAAAGTGTCTGAATCATGTTTGATCCGGAGAAATTTTTGGGTATAATATGTCACAATTTACTGTTTATTTTGCTCTCCTCACTTACATAAATGAACTACAGTGTCCTGCACACACTAGAAAAATAAAATATTAAAAATTATATCTGCTGTCTGAATAATTTTTGGTTTGACTGTGTATATATATATATATATAGCTCAGCTGCCTGTGATCAGTGATGATGATGATGATGATGTTCTTTGCTCACCTACAAAATCACCCCAATCATTGATGATTCAAGTCATCTGGTGATTTTTTTTTTTTCATATTGCAATATATATCGCAGAAAAACAAATGAATAATTTTTGGTTTGACTGTGTATATATATATATAGCTCAGCTGCCTGTGATCAGTGGTGATGATGATGATGATGTTCTTTGCTCACCTACAAAATCACCCCAATCATTGATGATTCAAGTCATCTGGTGATTTTTTTTTTTTCATATTGCAATATATATCGCAGAAAAACAAAATATTGCAATATGAGTTTTTTCCAATATCGTGCAGCCCTAACGGTGAGTGTGAAGGTCAGATGATGCTGAAGCTGCATTGATTTGCTCTCAGTATCTGCTCGTCCTTCAGGAGCGCCGCGCTGACAGCAAGCGTTTACTTGAGAAGTGAAATAACGAGCGTCTGCAGTGTTTGTGACGGAGGACGGTTAGAATGAGACGCGGCTCACCATTTAGAGAGCGTCAAACTCTTCTGAAAAATAACAGACGAATCGTTTCGCTCTGTGAGGTTATGAAATAAAAACTAGCGTGAGTTTATTGGTGAGGGATGTGAATGGCAAGGTGTATAAAACAAACTTTAATGAAAAGCTTCCTGAATTATGTGACATTATTACATTATTTTAGCTAGATGTTATATACACGAGGGATGATGTGCAGTCAGCTGGTCATTATCGCAAAGTAAACTTTTTATTATTTTTATTCTTTGCTCTTGAAGGGATTTATTCAGTAATAATGAGCTGCTGGTGGACATTACTCTGCTATTTCACTTATTTTCATGTGAATATTTCAGGTTTCTGATATATTAGCCACTATAAATAGTAACTAGAAGAATAAAACTGCAAACCAGTTTAAAAAAAAAAAAAAACTTGCAATTTTGCACTGCAAACCAGTGTGTTTATGATTATGATAATACATTAGAATAATATAACAGATACTAGTTTGCAATATCAACCATCATAACCGACTGGAAGCAAAAATAACTGAAAGTGTTTGGGCTGCATTATTTTCCTGCATATATAGTAAATCAATCTTTGTTCAAATAAAAAACATTGCGCAGCTCTGCCACTTGGTGGCGCTATAATATGGGGAAAAAACGGCTATAACTGCACAACCGTTGGTCCGATTGACTTGAAAATTGGTATGCAGTGTCTTTGTCTGAAGTGGCACAAGTGTCTATGAGGACATTTACGTATCTCAAAAAACATGGCCGCCATTGGCAAAACAATTTTAAGCACCTATTTGACAAGGTTAACGAAGGTCGATCGGAACGAAACTCTGTGGGCATGTTCGACTCATTGCCCTAAAGGTCTGTAAGAATTTTGAAAGAAATCGGCCACTAGTTGGCGCTAACGAGTTTTATGGCTCTGTAATCGGTGTTTCACACTGCATATCATTTGCATATCATTTGATAGATCTTCTCATATTGAGCAACTTTGCCTCAAGAACCATTGCTGTCAATCAAATCGTTCATTAAATATTCACAAATATGTTAAAAACTTACTTTTGCGATCTAGTCCTAGGTTTTTCGCTCAATCTCGATCAAACCACTGCAGCACTATTCTCTGGACGCTCTAGATCAATAATTATCAAAAAAAAAAATTTAATTTTGTCCTTTGGTTAGCTATAACGGGGTCATTTTAAAAAGGGGCGTGGCCAAATATACCCAAAAGCCTATAAAACCTAAACGAAAACTCAAAACTTTATGAAACTTGGTGAAAACATGTGTCAGATGACTCTTAACAAGCTTGCAAAATTTCATGGAGACCGGACCATAGGTGGCGCTATAACAGTTAAAAAGGCCTCAAAAACACTATTTCGTAAATGACCTCAAATTGCAAAAAAAAAAAATTTTCATATATTCACACACACACTAGATCTTCATATCATATGATAGATCTTCTTATTCTGAACAACTTTGCCTCTGGGACCAATGCAGTCAATCAAACTGTTCATTAAACATTTGAGATTATTTTTAAAAACTGTACTTTTGTGAACTAGTTGTAGGTTTTAAACTCAAAATCAATAAAATCAGTGCAGTACTATTGTCTAGACTCTCTAGGTCAATAATTATCAAAAAATGTTGAACATTTGCATTTGGACAGCTATAACATGGTCATTTTATGATATGTTCTTTACATAGTGTACCCAAAGTCCTATAAATCCTAAAAGAAAGCCCACAACTTCTCAATACTGTGTAAAATGATGCATAATTTCACTCTAAATAAGCATATAAATTTAAGACATATTGGGCATAAAATAACACTGTAAAAGATATAAAGATTAAAAACACAGTGTTGTTTGAGAAATTGCATTTATAACCACTAGATGGCAGCGGAAGGCCACTAATGGGCTCATTAAACTCACTAAAACAGTACTGTTCATAGGGTTGCTTCTGGATTCATGCTTAGACATTATAAAATCACTGCTCTAACATTGAAAATCACATTTAGTCAAGTAAAGGTAAAGTTTACCATTTTGTTTATACAGACATATCAGTTTTTACAATTATGCCAGATTATGATTACAGTGAAACCTGAAAATGATATATAAACTCTTAAAAAGAGAAGATAAGTATTGTCACCTATTTATTTCAAATATCTATATCTGCAACAAAATGTGTGTGCATGTACGTATGTCTATGTATGTGTGTAAGCATGCTTATTGAGTATTAATATAATAGTTTAACCATTTAATTTCTTTGTGTGTGTGTGTGTGTGATGAGTTCAGGTGTGTGTGTGTGTGTGCGCGTGATGAGTTGAGACACACACTCTCTCTCTCTGTCTCTGCTGTGCTGCTCTTTTGTGTCCTGCGGTGATGTGTGAGCTGTGAGACTCTAATCGTTGCAGACGCCGTCCGCTCGCGTCCTCGTCATCAGACCTGATCTCACCTGATCATGTGACACAACAGATTGCAAACAGTTGCTCAGACGACGATGCACTGTGAGAATCGCCATGGCAACGGCTTGTGTAACGGGACACAGGTGGCGATGCAGATTGGAGTGAATGTCATCGTGCCAAACACCCGCCTGCAGAAACACAGCTGTGTGTGTGTGTGTGTGTGTGCGTGTGCGTGTGCGTGTGCGTCTGTGTCTGTGTCTGTTTCGCATCGAGCTCATGATGTCCGTGTCCTGTGCGCTGGCACCCCATGAGGCTCCTCAGTATTTGTGTCTCAGTCTGAGATCTGATGTTTGAGAATT